CCGTCCGATGGCGCGGCCCTCCCTCAGCACTGACCGTCCGATGGCGCAGCCCTCCCTCAGCACTGACCGTCCGACGGCGCGGCCCTCCATCAGCACCATCCCTCCAACGGTGCGGCCCTCCCCCAGTGATGACCCGCTGTTAGAATATGAATTCAGGATCCATAGAATGCCTATAGTGTGGAAACGGGCCATTCAGCCCAACAAGTCCATACCAACCCTCTGAAGAGCATCCACCCAGACCCATCCCCCCCCCACCCTAATTCTGTAACCCTGCATTTCCCATGGCTAATGCACCTAACCTACACATCCCTGAACACTGGGTAGTTTAGCATGCCCAATCCACCTGGCCTACGCATCTTTGGACTGTGGGAGGAAACCGGAGCACCTGGAGGAAACTGCAAACTCCACACAGACAATCGCCCGAGGGTGGAATTGAACCCAGGTCCCTGGCGCTGTGAGGCAGCAGTGCTAACCATTGAGCCTCTATTAATTTACTGTACTCCTTCACTATGGAGGTGAATGGGGAGGCAGGACTGAGGGTAAAATTAGAAATGAGTACAATGCGTTCAGCAGCAATGTATCTTGCCTCTGAGCAATCTTACCCCGGCGTCTACTTGCATATCTTCTGTGTTTTCTTCTGATTTCTGAATAAAACTTGTTTGTTTTAAAGGCCAAAACGCAAGAGTTGGAGGAGTTAAATAAAGAGCTGAGACAGTGCAACCTACAACAATTTATCCAGCAGACTGGAAGTGGGGGCACACAGAGCAGAACTGAAGAGGAGTCGACCACAGATGAACCAAGCCAGCAACAGTCGCCCACACACTGGAACGGAGGTGAGGAAACGATCATCTCATTGCCACAGAGAACACCCACAGCACGATCAACCATCCCAAAGTGTACTTCCTCAGGGGGAAAGGACACCCAACAGGCATCCAGAGTTCCTTGGGAAAGAACAAGACCACTCTCAAAATCACTTCCATTCAGGGAAATCCTTGCGGAAGTGATTAGGTTTTGGAGAAGGTGAAGGCAAGATTGACTAGAATGGTACGAGGGGTAAAGAACTCCAGCTATGTGGAGAAATTGGGTTGTTTTTTTTTTGTTTATTCATTCACGGGAAGTGGGCGTTGCTGGCTAGGCAGCATTTATTGCCCAGAGGGAAATTCAGAGTCAACCACATTGCTGTGGGTCTGGAGTCACATGTAGACCAGACCAGGTAAGGATGGCAGTTTCCTTCCCTAAAGGACATTAGTGAGCCAGGTGGGTTTTTCCCAACAATCGACAATGGATTCATGGTCATCGTTAGATTCTTAATTCCAGATATTTTATTGAATTCAAATTCCACCACCTGCCGTGGCAGGATTCGAACCCGGGTCCCCAGAACATTATCTGCGTCACTGTATTAACAGTCCAGCAATAATACCACTAGGCCATCACCTCCCCCTCTTGTTACAGCAGAGAAGGTGGTGATCAGATTTGAGAAAGCAGTTCAAAATCATGAGTGGGTTTGACACCAGAGAACAAAGATTGAAGGTGATTGACCGTAGGAGCAGAGGAGGAGAAGATGGGGACTGATTGGTTTGTTTGAAGGACTGTGCCATTCTGATCTGGAGTATACTTGTCTGAGCGGACAGTGGAAACAGATTCAGTGGTAGCTTTCAAAAGGGAATTAGATGGATGCTTGAAGGGGAAAGAAGAGGTCTGAATGGGACTACCTGGATCATTTTTCAAAGGGCTGGTATCGGTATGATGAGCTGAATGGCCTCTTGCTGTGCTGTATCATTTTTTCATTAGATTTTAAAACGCCCCTACTCCAGCTTGAAACAGTGCCTGTTCAGAAACAAATTTGCAAGTTATCTTTCTCTGCATCTCTATAGCCCCCTGTAAGGTAACCTCTTGGTACTTCCTTTTAAGGATGTATAGGCTGAGTGTCTGGTCTCTCCCAATAAATCTGAACCTGAGCATCAGACTGGGGGCAAAATTAGCGATTGCTGGAAAAGCTGAGCAAGTCTGGCAGCATCTGTGGAAAGAAATCAGAGTTAACATTGTGGGTTGAGTGACTCTAGAAGGTGCTGCCAGACCTGCTGAGCTTTTCCCAGCAATCACTATTTTTGTTTCTGATTCATAGCATCCGCAGTTCTGTTGGTTTTTATTTAGTATCAGCCGAGGGACTTGCACTCAGTTAGCAGGAGGTGCAGCAATGCAGAGGGTCTCTGTGAGGGTTGACAGTCACTTAGAGTTGAAAGGTGAACCGATTGATAGTGAGGCTGGGCCACAGGGACATAATGGCATTTACAGCACCATGAAGTTGTCAGAAGAGACTATAGAATCGGTGGCACAGTGACTCACCGACTCAGGTAAAAGACAGCTGACCTGTTTTATCTCTTTTTTTTTTTGACAGACATTCACATTTCAGAAACCGACTTCCCACCACGACAGACAGCGAAACAGTTCCTGGGGAATCCACGAAACCTCCAGAACCCTCTGGTGTCGAGCTTAAACCCAGAAGGTGTGTTCGTTTGAACTGAATGCATGCCTTGTGCTAACACTAGCCTTTGGCAAGTGACCCTTTAACACACAGCAACAGAAGCTAAAAGGTGGCTAATAATTGAACTTGTAAACTGCAGTCTGCCAGTTGAGGGGTGAATGTATACACACCCCTACATGTATAACGTATATATTCTCCTGCTCATGGTGCAGTATCTGCATGAGCCTCCGTCTCTCTGTCTCTCCCTCTTGTGTTCTACTTTTATTTGATGCTGTGCATCAACTTTCAGTTAGCTGAGAATGATACAGAATATGTTACAGTGTCCTCTAAATCCCTGGGGGTTGGTTAGCTCAGTTGGCTGAACAGCTGCTTTGCGATGCAGAGTAATGCCAAAAGCATGGGTTCAGTTCCGTGACATTACCATGAAGGATTCTTCTTCTCAACCTTTCCCCTCGCCTGAGGTGTGGTAACCCTCAGGTTATACCACCCACTAGTCATCTCTCTCTCTCTCTAATGACAGTGTAACCTATGGTCTGGTCAGACTATGGTGCCTTGACTTGTCTCCAATCCCTATGATATTTTCTCATCCAATCCTTCCTAACTCCTCGTTAGAAAACATCCAAGAGAACATCTTTCTCTCCTACTTTGGATTTTATTTTATGGAATTTTATGAAAAATAATTGTACAACACCCTGTACTTGGCCTGATTAGTCTGTGCCAGTGTTTATTGCTCCAGGGAGCTTCCTTCCTCCTTTACTCATATCTGCTTATCAGCATATCCTTCCGTTCCTTCTCCCTCCTGTATTTATTTAGCTTCCTCTTCAACTATACTGTTAACCTCCTGGTCCCCTTTCTCACAACGGTTTGAATAAAAAAGTGTCTCATGAACTCCCTAATGGATTTACTAAGGACTTTCTTACATGAGTTAATCCCTCTTTTTGTCTTTTGCCTGTGTTTACTCCCTCGTCCCATCATCTGGCTCTTTGGTGTCTGGTCCACAAGGGGCACCACTGCCTATTGTGGCCTCATTCACAAGAGCCTGAGAGCTGCACATTTCTCTCTGCTTCAGGGATTTCCACCTGAGGGCAGCTATGTATCCTTCCCCTCGCCCATTCTCACGAATTCCGGTAAAATGAGTGCCTGTCAGATATTGGATGACGGTTGATATTATCCCCCTGTTTCTCATATAGGTAGCAGCCAGGAGTCCAGGCTGATTATCATCTCTGTAGCTCAGACCACTTTGCTCTCATGTTCAATGCCATACTGGATGCTGCATTTCCCTGTCCCTGACCCCTCCTTCCCATTCACCTCCCATTCCTAGCATTTTGAGGAAAGTTACATTAATGGACTTTTTTTTTAACTCAAAAGACTTCTGTCTCAGAAGCTTAATGAAGCCCGTGTTATAAAGCTCAGGTTTTGTCACGTCACTGGAGGATATTGAATGAGGGGCCCACATGTTGCATGGCACAATCCCACTGAGTCTCACATCCCAAAGCAATTCGTTGTCCAGGCCCCACTTCCATCTCTCCTCCCCCACAAGCTATCTTTTTTTTCATCTCTATCCTGCTCTGCCCTTATCTCCCTATTTCTCTTTTTTTCCCCGTCTTGCTTCAATGCATTCCCTTTGTCTCTTCTCTCTCCCAACTCTCCCTTCTGATCTGCAGTCTCTCTGTCTGTCTTGCTTTGCTTATCTTTTTGTTTTGTCCCTCTCCCTGTCTCTCTCTCTCTCTCCCTGTCTCTATGTGCATGCCAGTGTTGGGAAAGTGACAGTGTTAAGGTTTGCTTTGCAATACCTGACAGTCTAAAAGGAAAGCCTTTCAGCCACAGTTTCACTTCACAGTAGGCTGCAAATATAAAATGTATTTATTTTCAAGTAACCAGATGAAGTAGTTTTTTTTTAATTTAAATTTCATGCCCCATTAACTTATTTACATAATTTTTTTATTTCAGAATTTCATCATTGGATAGTAGGTAGCTGACAAAAGAGCAGGAGCCTGTATGAAGCTGTAAACTGAATTCAGGGTGATATTGTTATAAAGTCATCTCTGCCCAATCTGGCCTGTACATTGAGAAATATAATCTATGTTAGGTTGGCTGTTAACAGTCACATATTACATAAAGGAACCTATTCCTTCTGATATGTTTTAAAATTATTATTTTAAGTATATATTCAAAATAAAGCAGAACTGGAAACCAAAAGTTGTGTTTATTGTGTATTTTTGTGAAGATGCTGTACAATCAAAATAGAAAAGAGACAAAACAGGTCTGGTCATAGAAAGAAAATGAAAACTTGCATCTCTTCAGCCTCTTTTGACACCACCAGACCACTCCAAAGTGCTTTATAGCCAATGAAGTACGTTTGAAGTATTGTCAACTTTGGAATGTAGGAAACATGTCAGCTAATTTTATTCACAGCAAGCTCCAACACACAGCAATGTGATAATGAACAGATAAGCTGCCTTCATAATGTTGATTGTGGGAAAATTATTGTCCAGGGTCTTCCCTGCAGTTCTTCAAAAATTAGCCAAGAGGACTATTACATCCACCTCCAAAAGGTAGAACTTCCAGCAGTGTATTGCTGTCTCTTTTCTGGCTCTTTGTGATTATGGACTCACGCAGAACTGCCTCTCTGATAGTGCAACACTTTCAGTACTGAGCCACTGATAATTCAGCGTTTGCTCAGTCTTGCGCCTCCCAATAGCTCAGTGCTGTCTTGGAGCTGAACTGAAAGTGGTCTTCCTGATGGTCAGCTGAAGTCTTTAGAGGGTGGCAGGGGCAATGATGGATGGCCCATATGGTGTCCACATCCAATCATCACAATGAAACAACACACAGCCTGTCGGATTTGCAAGTAGGAGAGTCAGCTACCCTTTGAGGTAGAGGAATGCCCTGTTGCCCTCATCGTCAGGAGATGGGTAGCCGGTGAATGGAATCATACTGCCTATGTTACTGGACAAGTCATCCAGACACCTGCACCGCTGCTTCAGAGACATGAGTTCAAATCCCATCACAGCAATGAAGGGATATGCATTCAATTTATTAAACAAGTCAAAAGTGAATTCAAAGTGGTGACCATAGAGCTACCGAAATGTAGTAAAAGCCCTTCCAGTTCATTTTCACTTTTTATGGAAGGGAATCTGTCATCCTGACCACTTCCAGGCTGCATGTGACTCTGGACATAAAGGTGCAGTTTAACTGTGCTCAAAATGGCCTTGCAACCTTCTCAGCTTAGGGCAGTGAGAAATGGAAACAAATGGTGTCTCAATTCCTGTCCATTTAAGCACGAACTTCATGGACAGGGATCCATAGATGAAGTTGAGTTTGTTCAAGGAAAGCTACCTGGGATTGTGGAGCCCACCTCCCATTCTGAAAAGCAGTGAAGATCTCCGGATGTGACAGGAGTCAGCCTGAGGCAGTGAATCGAACTACACTTCCAGCCTAGTGCCTACAGCATTAGGGGAGCCAGTGGAATGGCTTGATGAGCACTGAGATGAAGGATGAGTGAGTTAGGATGGCGGAGTTTCAGACGACCTCAAGTTTACGGAGAATAGAATGTGGGAGGCCATCTGGGTCTACTTTGAAATGATCACGTCTTGAGGTAACAAGGGCATGACTGAGGGTTTCAGCAGCAGATCAGCTGAAACAGGGCAAAATCATGGAAGCATGGAATGGTTACAGCCCAGAAGAAGGCCATTAAATCCATCAGGTTTGTGTTGGATCTCGGTAAGATCAACTTGGATATTCCCACTCAGTGCTTTGGCACTGTGGCCTGACAACAGTTTCAAGTCACAATTGAATCTGCCTGTGGCACATTATCAGGCACAGCATTCCGATCCTAACCACTAACTGCCTGAAAACTGTTTTCCTCGTGTTGCCTTTAATTCTTTTACTGTATTGCTTAAGTTAGTGTCCTTTTGTTCTTGACTCTTACACTAATGGGAACAGTTTTTGCTTGTCTACTCTGTTGAAACCCCCATGATAATTTTGAACAGCCAGTATCAAATCATCTCTCTAAGGAAGATAGCCAAGTTTCTCCAGCCTATCCACATAACTGAAGGGTCTCTTATTCTTGGAACCATTCTCATTAATCTTCACCCTCTTAAATTTCTTCTCCATCTTTCCTAAATTGTGGTCAACAATGTTGTGGTTGGGGCTGAGCTAGTGTTTTGTAACAGTTGACTGTAACTTGTGTTTTTTGTCACTCGATGCCTGTGTTTATTTCATAGAATACTTCGCAGATCATTTTATCCTAGAAACAACCAGAGAGCAGGCTACATCAGACCTGGTATTGTGCGATGTAACAGGACTGATTCAGGACCTCAGAGTAAAGCCAACCCTAGGTGGCAGTGACAACAAAATGATTGAATTTTAGATCTGAGATAACAAGGTGTAGAGGCTGGATGAACATAGCAGGCCAAGCAGCATCAGAGGAGCAGGAAGGCTGACGTTTCGGGCCTAGACCCTTCTTCAGAAAAATTTTAGATCTAGTCTGAAGCAGAGAGTGGGTCTAAGGCTAGCATTTTCAACTTCCTTCAGAAGATCCTAGTCCAGTATGTCTGTAGGCTCCCCTTTATCACAGCACATTACTCCTTCCAAAAACATCCAATAAATTGGTAAAACATAATTTCACTTTCACAACATCTTGCTGAATCTTCCTGGTCAGCACACGTTTTTATAAGTGCCTAGCTATAACCTCCTTGATAACAGACATAGGCTAACTGAGCTTTCATTTCCTGTTTTCTGCCTCCCTCCTTTCGTGAATTAAGGTGTTATATTTGCTTTATCTCCAGTCTGAGATGAAAAGAAGTGGCACAGTTGCTGTCGGTGCGATGGAGGAAAAGTGGTAAGGTGTTTGATTTGATTTGATTTATTATTGTCACATGTACCTAGCAATAGTGCAAAGTTTTATTTTGCCTGCAGTACAGGCAGATCACACCATACAACGTGCATAGGCGTAATAGGACAGAGTGAAGCATACAATGTCACAGCTGCAGAGAAGGTGCACAGAGAGCGAGATCAACATTAAATTTAAAACTTGTGAGGTCCATTCAGAAGTCTAATAACAGCATAGAAGAAGCTATTCTTGAATCTATTCATATGTGTATACAACTTTTTATATCTTCTGCCTGATGGAAGAGAGTATAACGGGGTAGGACGTGTGTTTGATTATGTTGGTTGCTTTCCTGAGGCAGCAGGAAGTCTAGCTGTAGTCAATGGATGTGCAGCTGGTTGCATGATGGACTGTCTGTAGTTCCTTGCGCTGTTGGGAAAAGCAGTTGCCATACCAAGCCGTGGTGCACCCAGATAAAATGCTTTCCATGGTGCATCTATAAAATTGGTGAGAGTTGTCGTGGACTTGCCAAATTTCCTTAGCTTTGTGAGGAAGTAGAGACATTGTTATGCTTTCTTGACTGTCGCATCGGCATGAGTGGATCAGGACAGATTATTGGTGATCATCAGGAATGTGACGTTCTCGACCATCTCCACCTCAGACAGGGGCGTGCCCTCCACTCCACTTGCTGTGGGTCTAAGTCAATGACCAGTTCCTTCGTTTTGCTGATGTTGATGGAGAGATTGGTGTCTGTCCTGAGTGATTGAGCAGACAGCACAGACTCTGTGCAGAGTTAGTGATCTGAGGGTGTTGGGGTGAGTGAGGAAAGCTGATGTAGGCAGTAGTGAGAATAGCAGAGCACGAACCTTGGTGGGAGGTGGGTGCAGAGATAGTGTGGGTGTGAGGTTGCAGAGAGAAGATGGTGGCACTTAATCCCAGTGGAGCGAAGAAGATCATACACTTTCTTTGTGCATCGCTGGGCATTTCTCCAGATGTGGAGACTGCACTAAACTAGCCGGTGATGCCAGACCAGGCTGGCAGGGGTCATGCTCTCCTCTGCCAATCCTCTGGGGAGAGGATAGCTCTTCTCTGCATCACCTCATGTATGAGGATGCCCAGGTCCTGATCAGTGAGTCATGGGGCCAGTTGCCCTTTTTCTGCCATGTCTGGGGAAAATATCACAAACCATACAGAGCAGCTTCAGAATGCCAGCATTTGTCTGGCTGTGCCATGGCTTTGCAAAGATTATAGAATCACAACAATGTTATAGCATTGTAGGAGGCCATTCAGCCCATTATCTGCACAGGCTCTTCAAATGAGCATCATTACTGACTGCCAATTTCCTGCTAATTCTCCATACCCTCGTACATCATTTCTATCCAAACTATCATGCGATAGGCTCTTGAATGCCTCAACTGAACATGGCCACAGGGATGCTGGAGTATCCTGATACCTGGGCAGTGGCACATACTTCTGGTTACAATGAGCAGGAGAATTGGGCTAGCACTGGGTAAGAGCACCACAATGGGGGTAAGTCTTTAATGAGGCGAATTTGGGGCAATAATGATAGAAAACATGCCAGGCCCTATGGAGAGAAAGCCTTCATCAAACTCAAAAGAAATTGCCACGGCCAAACTATCATGGGAAACAGCCCAAAGTTTTTCACAGAAAGTTTCTGTGGATCCCACTGGAAAAGAGTGATTACTGCACTATTCCACCTTACAAAAGTCACCAGGAGGAAAGGGAGTGCACCACCATGACCATCTTAAGGAATTCCCCCTTCCCAGGGCCATGGTCTGCAGCAGGAATAGGAGGAGGACTGAAACCAGGCATAGCAACATCTAATAGATCAGGAGAGCACAACAGGGGGACTGAGGGGCATTCTTTCCCCATTGAGGGTATTAAGCATCCTTCAAGCCTGTGTTTCCTCACTCAGTCCCACCCATGGCCTTGCTGAATGCCACTTTGTGCATCAGTCAGAGACCTCCACATCTTCAGTGTGTGTCCGTGTGCAGCCTATACATGACTTTTTTTTTAATTTCAAAAAAACACTTTATTCATATAAACCTTTATATACATACATTGTCACTAGAGCAGTTTGGTTCTGTATAGTCTTTACGTAGGGGGAACAAACAAACATTGGAGTTTGACACTCCAGACAGTTCCAAAAAACGTGGGGTGTTTCTTACTTATGCAAGATACTTTTTACATATATTTGAGGTACTGGGTGGGTCCGATAACTGAATGGACCCTGTTTACCTTCAGCAGAAAGACTCGGGATGGTGGTCTTTCCTCATAGCGCCTTGGCAGCAGATGCCCCAGGCTTTAGTGCATTCCTGAGCACGTAGTCCTGCACCTTGGAATGTGCCATTCTGCAACACTCAGTCAGGGTTGTTCTGGAAGACCTACAAGTTTCGGGCAGACCAAAGAGCATCTTTCACTGAGTTGATGGTCCTCCAGGAGCAATCGATGTTTGACTCAGTCTGCAGCCTAGGAAACAGACTGTGTGCAGCACAGTCTTACATCATGGAGCTGCTTAGGCCAAATTTCAACAAAAACCACTGCATGTTCCTCCAGACTTCCTTGGCAAAGGCACATTGCAGCAGGAGATGTGTGACAGTCTCAACACCCCCCCCCCCCCCCCCCCCACCCCTCACAGGAACTTTGAGGGCAGCACCCAGACCAACAGGGTGTTCATTAAGTATCTCACAGGTAATGGCCTTCTCACCAGCAGCCACGTGATGTCTTGCTGCATGTTGGCACGTTCTGGCGATGAGGCATTCTGTCAAATGACTTTGACAAACTGCTCAGGGAACCATGCAACAGGATCCACCCTCTCCTTTACCCGTAGGGTCTAAAGGATGCTATGGTGCTGACCACTCCCTGATGGACTAGTGGTCAAAAGTCTTTTCTTTTGCAAATTTCTCCTAGAAGGACAGGTGATACGGAATGGTCCGACTGCTTGGAACATTCCACGGCAACGAGGCCCATCCTTCGCAACACCAGGGACAGGAAGAATCTCAGTACGTAGTGACACTTGGTGTTTGCGTACTGAGGGTCTATGCACAGCTTGATGCAGCAACACAGAAAGGTGGCCATCAGGATGAGGGCGACGTTTGGTATGTTTGCTCCGCCCTCACCCGAAACCTTAACAAGAGCTTTGTAGATGGTATCCCTTTGGATCCAGTCCAGCTTCGCCCTCCAGCTGAAGTGGAAAATGGCTTAGGGGTCTGCAATTGCACAGGTTCTGGAAATGGGCCGGACCTGCGCCACATACGACAACAGAGACAGTACCTCACACCTGATGACCAGGTTAATACCCGCAATGGAGACGGAACGGTGCTCTCAAAAGCCCAGTTTCTGCCTCACTTTGGCATTACGCTTTTCCCAAATGTTTGCGCACGCCCCAGCCCCTTCCAAACCATATTCCCAATGCTGTCAGATAAACTGGCCTGATAGTGAAGGGGATAGGCTTAAAATGACATTGCACAGAAGCTGCACCCCCTCAGTACTTTGTGTGCTAAACCTGCACGTGACTCCTTTCTTGCCTGCAGGCACCCTTCAATCATGTCAACTTGCAAGATATCACCCGTATACTGCCGGGACAAGATAGTACACAGCCCATGAACAAACAGCAATCTGATACAAGACTTTCAGGTTAAAGCCAGACTTTGAATTAGGTGTGTCTTATTAGCACAGCGTCCACTTTAACACTCGATTTCACCAGAATAACCGCCCCCCCAACCCCAGTGTTTGAGGAGATGTGACGTGCGTTAACCAGGAATCACTTGAAAAGTAAGTTTGATATGAACACATGAATGTTTGAGGATGAAATTTGGATTTTAGTGAAACGTGATCCTGGGTGCGTCAGACAGACTGCCGAGAGCCTTGTGCAGCCCGTGTCGCTGCTGCTGCTGGGAACTGGCATTGGGAATGGTTTGGTTTCAAAGTGCTGGATTCCAACCAGTATTTGATTTCTGAACCTTGTTGAATGGACTGTGGACTTTGGGATAGCTTCCTATCTTTATCTTTCACAGCCAGGAAAGGAGCGTCACTGCAAATCAGACAAATATGAACACATTTTAACCTGCAATAAAAGCATTTATTGTATCAGTGCAGCCAGTTTTATCTATTGATTGGACTTAGGCTGGATTCTCTCCCAATCAGGAATGTCCAGGCACTAGGAAATGTTGTAGGATCAGGTAGTCTGATCAATTTTCCAGTAGACGGTGTAGGTTTCGGGGGGGGAGGGGCGGGACCGTGTTACTCCTCACCCAAACAATTTGGTAGTAACCCATTATCCTCATTGATCCATGCCTTCTGGACCCCTAATTCTGCTCAAAGATTATGTTGTTAGATCAGGAGTTCAAGGACTTCTACCCAGCAATCAAAGAGGACTGATATTTGTCCTAGTCCGAATAATGTGTGAGGTTTAAAATTGGAGTTAAGTAGTTGACTTCTAATGCTATCAAATATCGTTGAGAAGCAAATATTAAGACAGAGTATAGCCCAAGAACAAACAAAAATAAGGTACAAGAAGTTCAGATGGACATTGAACAAACTATAATATTTTTCTAATTTCAAACTTTGCAAAATTTCCTTGAGCATTGAAAAACAAGTTAAACTTATTGCTGATCATTTAGAGAAGTGAACACAAATAGAAAAAATTTCAACAGCAGCTTTTTTTTATTAAATATGTTTTTGGAATGTACTCTTCGATGAGACGTTGTATCAGTCATTCAGGATAACTAATATTGTGGCAATGGATTAGATAGAATGGAAAGTATAGACAAAGGCCATTTGGCCCCACAAATTGATGTTAGTGTTTGTGTTCATACTCCTCTTCATCACATGCTGTTAACACCACCGGGAATTTCATAGTGAGAGTCGAATATGTGAGTGCAGAAATTTGCACTGGGATGTGATTTGGAGATGTGAAATGCTCCACAGATGTTGCAAGGCTGAATTTGGTGTTAGTGCAAATCCTTTAGACTGGCAATGCTTATTATTCCAGCATAACAATATAAAATTCCACTCTATTCTTTTCTCTGCTACGTGGATTTAAATAAACTTATGTGCAGTATCAGAAATTCGACTTAAATAATGGCTGTGGGTCATCTACCTCCACCCAAGGAGGCAGTTGGGGTCTTGCATAAGCCAGCATCTCAAAATGTGCAGCACTCCCTTAGTATTGCCCCACTGACAGTGCGGTGCTCCCTCATTACTGACCCTGTGACAGTGCAGCGCTCCCTCAGTACTGACCCTCCAACAGTGCAGCGCTCCCTCAGTACTGACTGTCCGACAGAGCAGTGCTCCCTCAGTACTGACCCTCCAACAGTATAGCACTCCCTCTCTATTGACCTCTGACACTACCACGCTTCCTCAGTACTGACCCTCTGACAAGCCAACATTTCCTCAGTACTGACCCTCTGACAGTGCAGCACTCCCTCAGCACTGGCCTTCCAACAGTTCAGCACTCCCTCAGTACTGACCCTTTGACAGTGCAGCGATCCCTCAACACTCTGACAGTGCAGCACCCTCTCAGTGCTGACCCTCCGACAGTGCAACGCTCCCTCAGCGCTAATCCTCTGACAGTGCGGTGCTCCCTCAGCACTGACCCTCCAACAGTGCAGCTCTCCCTCAGTTATGTCCCTCTGACAGTGTAGTGCTCCCTCAGCACTGATCCTCTGACAGTGCTCCCTCAGTACTGTTCTGGTGTGTCAGATTGGATTTTGTGCTCAATCTTGGCCTCGGAGTTGAACCCACATCCTCTGAATTAGAGGCAGGTGTTATGCACTGACACTTGGACTGTCTCCTGTTGCTTGTATCATCATCAATCTTTAATATTATTTTGTTTTCTTTTAACCCTGACCGTTGCACATTACTGGGATGGAACTTCTTGTCATGCCCGGTCCTTCTTCTATCTGCAAGCTGGAGGACAAGGAATATTTCCACAGAACTGGGCGGACGGTGAACTGTCCTGTCCTGAGGTGGTGCCTGTGATTCAATACTGTCCATTTGAGCTGAGCCGCAGATGCATGTTGGGAAATCTGTGACCTACCCTCTGGGCTGGATCTGTTGTGATCCCATTTTCCTTTCCCCCTGTGGAGAAGTAACTGCAAGAGGGAAAGTGTACACCACAAATATAGCAAGCGATCTGTGCAGAGCACACAGATTTGTCCCAGTCATTGCCTTGCCATGGAATTAAGTGACTCAATACAGGCCCAGGCTCCAAGCTGCACCCTTTGCCTCTCTGTCACTCAGTTATCTTTGTTTATTTTGTGAGCTACTTGTTCATTGCAATTCTTGCACCTTCCAATTGTTTAAAATGATGTAAAATTGTGAGTTTCTGTTTACTGTCCTTGCCATAAACTATGTTCCCTTCCTATTGCATAAAATCCCCCTCCCTAATCACGGTGGCTGAACCTCAGGAATGGGTTAGCTGACTTGAAGCTGCATGTCTTTCTCCATACCCTTTCTCTCACCCAGACTGCTAATCTCTGTGCCTGTAGGATTGCCCAAATCCACCCCTGTTTCTGCTACTGAAACTCTCAGTTATGCCTCTGTTACCTACAGACTCAACTATTCCAAAGCACTCCTGGACAGTCTTTCCCACCCTCCCAAACATAACCTTTTTCAAAATTCTGTTGAATACATCCTGATTCACCTTGAGTTCTGTTCCCCTGTCACTGTCAGTGTTTGCTGACCTACACTGGCCCCCAGTCCAACTTTTCAATTTTAAAATTCTCAAACTTATTTTCAAATACCTTTATGTCTTTCCTCTCCCTATATCTGTACCTTTGTCAAGCCCCACAACCTTCTAAGTTCGCTCTCCCCTACTTCTTACCTCTTGAACATTCCTGATTTTAATTGGTGACGATTCCTTCAGCTACCTAGGCCCTATATACTGGAATTTCCTCTCTAAACCTCTCCACCTCTCAACTCTCTTTCCTTGTTTTAAGCCAGTCTTTAAAATGTCTCTTTGACCCAACTTGATTATCTATCTTAATATTCTAAATGTGTTACAACTTGTCTGATTTATGGTTCTCTCTTTGGGATGTTTCATCACGTTAAAGACATTACGTTAAGTACAAGAGTTGTTGTTCATTCCATTTGATTTTACAGATTAATTGAACGTTTCTATCACTGTTTACTTTAATTAGCCTCCAAAGCCCTGGAGAACCTTTGCTCCTTGTCTGATGAGGTGGTCCTCATACATTTAGACCCAGCACAACAATTAGACATTCCGGTACCTGTTCTACAAAAATACAACCCTCATGTAAACATCAAAAGCAATCCTGAATTATGAGGCCAACAACTTGTTTTGATGAATAAAAATGCTTACAATGTCTTTCATAGACATTACTAATTCCGAGAGTGTCAGGACTTGGAATGGTACAACAACGAGGCCATACCTGTGTCAGCTCACTAAAGGAGCCGTCCACTTAGTCCGAATCCCACTCGCTCTCACCTAATTGCCCCGTAAATATTTACTTTTTCAAGCATCCAATTTCCTTTTGAAAGTTACTGTTGCTTCAGTTTCCACCGCCCTGTCTGGCATCGCATTCCAGATCACAACAACATACTGAGTCTAAAACAAAGCTTCTCATCTTCTCTCACCAGTTATTTTAAATCAATGTCTTCTGATTACCGACCCTCCTGCTACTGGAAGCAGTCCTTACTTACCAAACCTGCTCCTGATTTTATGCTTCTTTATTAAACCCTTCAGTGGAATAATTTTGTTTTTAAAGCATGCTCTTTAAATATCTATCTGCAGGATGTTTAGAAACCAGTGTAAAGAGTTGGTCACCAGAGAGTTATATTTAGATTTGTTTCCATGAAGGAATATCCTGCTTGACCCCTCTCTGCTCACTGGTTTTCTCAATAAAAACTCCCGTTTCCTCAATTGTTGTTCAGGTTCCTACTGAGCCTGGCTCGGTGACAAGGGTCACTTTTGCAATGCAGCTGACAGGAAGTGTACAGTAAACACTCCCCAGGGCTCTCAGAACATTCTTGCGCTGATGCAAGTGTTTAGTGACAGGGTGCTGGCAAAGACTCTCAGGTCAAAAGGCCTCATTTGCTATAATAACTATGAAGGGTGGGTAGATTTTAGGTTCACAAATGTTCCTTCCTCTCTGCTGTTTTAAAGGCAGCCACTGGCGGGGCTCTGTAATGAAACCAAGTCTAATGATTAATGGAAACGTAAAGAAACTGAGGCAGTATGGCAGCTCAGTGGTCAGCACTGCCACCTCACAGGGCAAGGGACATGGACATTCATTCCAGCCTTGGGTTGCTGTCTGTGTGGAGTTCGCACGTTCTTCCTGTGACTGTGTGGGTTTCTGCCAGGTGCTCCAACTGTCCAAAATGTGCAGATTAGGTGGATTAACATAGAACCTGGAATGGTACAGCACAGGAATGGGCACTTCAGCCCACAATGCTGTGCTGAACATGACACCAAATTAAACTAATCCCTTCTGCCTGACATTGGTCCATTTTCCTCTGTTCCTTGCTTATTCACGTGCTTATCTAAAAGTCCCTTAAATACCCCTATTGTATCTGCCTCCACCATCAGCCCTGGCAGCGCGTTCCAGACTCTACCTCTCACTGTGTAAAATACTTGTCCCTCACGTCTCCTTTGAACTTTCCCAAACCTTAAATGCATGCCCCCCACCATTAGACATTTCAACACTGGGATAAAGATTCTGACCATCAACCCTCCTATTTCATAGAGTTCTATCAAGTCTCCCCTCAGCCTGTGCGGCTCAAGAGAAAATAACCTGAATTTTTCAAGCCTCTCCTTATAGCTCATACCCTCTAATCTAGGCAGCATCATGCTACACCTCTTCTGCACCTTCTCTAAAGCCTCCACATCCTTCCTGTAATGTTCAACCGGAAGTGAATGCAATGCTCTGAATGTAGCCTAACCAAGTCTTATAAAGCTGCAACATGACATTCCTGACTCTTGTACTCAATTCCCCGACCAATAAAGGCAAGCATGCCATACACCTTCTTTACCACCCTATCCACTTGCGTGGCTAATTAACAATGCTAAAT